GACAATAGCATGCTAACAAGGATTCCATGAGACAAAAACCAGGTACACCATCATTTTGAGCGAGCAATGCAGTTCCAAAAAATGTATTATGGCGGATATTTACATTAGATTCACAATCAAGATTGACTGGTATCATGCCCTGTCTAAATCATTCGTTATGGGCATTCTCCACATATAAGAGCTAGTTTGCACCATCTAAAAGCACGGGCAATCTGTAATGCAGGCTGATAGAGTTATCAGTCTGCCTCGTTCCAGGAATGAAATATTGGACATAATCAACAAGCAGCCATCATTCGGAGCAATTCCTGCACAAACAATATGCCGACGGTCATGGGTCGAGGAAAAATAGAAAATACCGCGAGTTTGAAAAAGGCTGAAACTTGCTCTTGATTCATATACACCCTTCATTTACTAGGAGTCAGCATAATCATGGTCCACATAACACTGGAGACTTACCACAGAAAGATGCATCAGGCTTGGTGTGATGACACTGCAAACTCTTGACGAACTGCTTAACGTCGACTTTCTGAAAAGCGTTGTACATAAAAGCCAAGTTAAGGAATCTCTTACGAACAAATCACAGACAGATGAGTTCGTTTATCCAGCAATTCGGAGCAAGAAATACGCAACAGTTTGGAAATTTGGAAAAAGCAAAAACTTCATTCATGACTAGCAAAAATCTCTTAGGTGGTAAGCTCTGACGCACACCAGAAGGTACATACCACCACAGAAGCTAATGACTTGTCTAAGGCATCCCGAAGGCGTCCTGAAGAGTTCAAGGTCGCGTCTATGGAATTACCATCAACTGCAAAATAAAGTCAAAAATGCTTGTCAGAACATTTGCTTGGAAATTCTGTCGTGCGTGAGTGATACTCCACGTACTCCAAAGACGTTATTCTCGTACTGATGTTGGTTTAATAAACGATAAACCTTTTCTGCTGAAGGTTCAGAAGCCCGTGATGAAATTTTATTTTTAGTTTTCAATGACGTTTCTCCGGCTTCTGGAATGCACCACAATCGTCTTTTTCCATTAAGTGAAGGGTCCATAAAGTGACCTTCACTTACTAGAGGGACCCTTCACGATGCACCATGGGAAGGCTAAATGGAACAATGAATTCCTCAGCTGAGTAAAGTAAAGGAGTTACTTCTTGAGTAGGATAAGGTGGTTCCGAATATCAGAAGAAAGTATAAAGAGGACAAGAACGAAACAGCAATTCGCAGGCCTCTCAATGTGTATTGCAACAATAACTCGAGGTGAATTGACGTACAAAAACTGCTGGAGGCAGAAGCAACCAAAAAGCATGTAGAAGAAGTTGAAGAAACACGCTATCTCACCTCGAACTCCGAGCACGCGAAGATTTTGAAACTCGGAACCAATCGACACTAAAGTATTCGAAACTTGAAGATGTAGATCTCCATACTGAGTTACTCCCACTTCAAGCACTTCCCCACGTTCTTCAGCCGTTCCACCAGTGCATGCAGCTGCATCAAATTCGGGACCTGAACCAACTTCTGCGATAAAGATAATGTCATTGCTGCGTTCTGACCAGAACACTTCCGTCTCTTATAAAAACTCGCAAAGAAATGACGATAGCTGTAAATCCTCGGGATATGGTTTTCAGACAAAGACCCTAAATCTGCACTTCATCAAACATGATTGCTCTTACTCGTGGGAGATCCTGGGCCATATCAAGAGCTGCCTGCAGTTCCTCCACTTCGACTCGAGGCATGGGCTGACTGAATTGCCATCTCCTTAGTTCAAGGGATTATGGAATCAATCGCATCGCACTTTGGCACTCGACTGGTACCATATTTAGTAGGTAGTAGACACACGCACGTATGCACACATTTGGGAAAGGCATACATTTCCCTTGTACACACCCGGCCATGAATTGGATTGGACTATCACTGGAACAACATCCTCCCTCCCTTCCTCCCTCCCTCCCTCAGTGCATGACTTGTGCCAGACACGCCACCAACTCTGGAAACTCTTATGGCCTTTATGTCCATGTGACGGCGTCGCGAAGAGAGAGAGGGAGAGAGCTGAAGCACGCTTGTGGCAGAAAGTCCCGAAGCCGGTCAGCTGGGTGAGCTCATACAGTTCTCTCCCGAGTCCGTCTCGTCTCGGCATTTATTCATCATCACTGTCCCTGATTCGGGTCCAACGAGTGAACTTACAGTTTGTTCATGACCAGAGTGCCCAACAAATCAGCCAGTCCATCGAAAGCGACATGAAGAATGCCGCGGCTCAGGCTCAGGGTCCACGCCCTACATGCACGAGGTGGCTACAATCCGCCATGGAATTTCTATTACGTGAGAATAGAAATGCTGCGCACGTCTGCCTGCCTGCCTGCCTACCTCTCCAGCATCGAGTCCTGCACTCTGATCTGCAGCAGATTTTCCAATGCTCGCATTGGAAAATCTGTGCATTCTTCTCTTCACTCGATGCGTCTGCTTTACAAGCTCTTGCGTTCTTGCTCTGGACAGCCCCTTCCTCATATACACTCAGCCCGTTATCCTATACCACCATACCAGGCTCGGGGCCGAAGTGAATCTTTTTGAATGATAGCGCGCGCACGCACGCAAGTAGTTACTTCCGTCTCTGATGTCATCGCGTCGGTTTCGCAAGTACTCTGAGATCAGCACAATCAATTTTGACTCAGATGAAGGAACCACCTCCACTGTGGCCGTCTAACCGATATTAGCGAGATCCGAGTGCCGATTTGTCTTCCTTTCATGGTTGGAGGACTGAAATACCTTGTGACATCGGGGCTCCGGCTGAAGGTAAATGATATGCAGCGTCACTAAGCGAACAATTGCGAGTAAATTACGATAGACCACGTACCTGCAGTCAAGCACAAAGGCTCCATATTTACTTCACAATATCCAAATCATTCTTGAGATTATTCCTTCAGCAAGAGAATGACATACATCTCTGGGTATGCTGCAGTTCATTGCAGAATCAAGAGTGGCATAACCTGAGCAGAATATGAATTACCTTAACACCATCTAGCTTACTGAACATGTACGAACTATGACTTGTGATAGTTAAATATACACTATGGTTGATTTGAAAACATGGTTTCCACGAGAACCAATTACGGTACTTATTGAAAATCAGGTAATCGTGTAAAACTATGCCATCCATTCTCTAAACAAGATGAATTTCACCTGTCATTGGCCTCCTCGTCTCCTTCGCCAATGATGGGCATGGTCGGACCATCCAGAATAGAAAATCTACCCGAAACAACAAAACAAACAGAAAACATTATTTCAAGCACATGAGAATACAAAACCAAGGAATCCACAGCATAGAAAGTTTCCTCTGTTGCTGCCTTCACCACTTAGGCTTGCTTACCTTCTAGCCAACCACAACAATGCTGAAGTAGATCCAATGCTTGCAAAACTATAAGGTGATCCTCTCATCTGGCCAGCGTTATCTTTGCTCTTGAATTCCCTTGGGTATGCCCACATTAGCAGTGGCAGTGGCCCATCAGTAGCCGGGTCATACGCTGGAGGTAAATACAAATTTGCTGTAAGTTGCACACCATCGCTCCGTTCGTATCGTGTAATCTCCTTCTTCAGATTAGCTATTTGAGGATACGGATGAGAGAAGTCTGTAATTTGACAGACAGTTTGCTCAGGCCAGGATCGCAGATAATACTGAGGTGGTTCGGTTTGAGATTCCTTTGAGACCAAAATACGTAACTTGTTCAGGTCCAGATCTCCATCCAACTGATCTGACATCAAAGCTACGACTGTCTCGAAATAAGTCTCCTTGCTGCTTTCCCAGATTCGCTGTTTTTCACCTGACTCGCTGCCAAACCAACGAGAACTTAGAAATCATAGGACCGCTGAGTTTTAATTATCACTTTCTTGCAGTCAAGCCTTGGATGCCCACACTAGAACCAGAGGGGAAAGCGTACATAGTAAGGATAGTAGGCACCAACTGAAACAATTGAGAAAAGTATCGAAGGTAAGTCCCCTGTTCGTAACGGAGGCTCCGATATAACTGGACTGCAAAGATCAGAAAGCCCTGGTGGAGGAACTCACAATGCTCCTGGCAGGCTTGTTACATGAATGAGCATGAAGGCGACAAAGGCCTAAGCAATGATGAAATTTTATATTATTCTTACATTTCCAGCAGATCCAAGAAAGGGATATTGCCTTGTGGGGTCGCGCCACTTCCATTCAGGAGCAGCCTCTTCTTGCCATCAGCGTCTTTGACACCTGCAAGAACGTACGTTCCAAGAGAAGTTCTGTGAAGCATGGGTGAACCAGGATCTGCGTAGACATCTTCTGATGAGCGACCAAAAAGCTTACGCCCTTCTGCTTCAAGATTCCCAGGTGCAATCATCCAAGTTCGAGTGCGTCGTGTTTTGTACCATGACTCATACACCAGAGCAAGTCCTTCATCCCCCCAGACAACAGTTGCCGACATGGAATTGTCATGTGCACATGAGTACACAGATATCTGTCAGTAAATGGAGAATGAAGTCAAGGTCATTCGTTCAAGGAATTCAAATCCTTGTGTAGTTACACAAGGATTTGGTTTGACAAGAACGAAACGATACGATCGAGTCAAATTGCCTCGGACTATTATCGGTACAGTGCTTGAGGATTTAGCAGGCAGCCGACCTGTTCCTGTGCACGAGCCTGTCGGCTGTTCCTGCAATTGCAGTTTTCACCTTTTGACCTTTCCGCACCATAATCCGCGTGCTTTGCTGCCGCTTCACTTTCTTCTTTACACAGAATTCACTCGGCTGGAGAACTTCGAAGAAAGCAAGATAAGGCAATCTTCAAGTCCACTTTAAAGATCGTTGACTGTGTGCTGCCCGAGGCTAAAACGTTCAACTCTTGTACATAATTATTGAATATAGGAAAGTCAAACGAGAACCTTCTGAGAATGACTCAAAAGTCAAAAGATACTCCGCGATTCCACGCACGGTTTTGAAGCTCACTGGTCTATGTGAGCTGGACCGCGTACCATTGGCCCAAAAGGCTTCCCGAGGAGACTCAGAAACTCACCCACACAAGAAAGACTCTAGCAGAGAAGGCAATTTCTGCTTGCACATATGGGATGGTCTGGAGGGATTGAGGATTTCAATTGAGCGACATCACAAAGCTCCGTCTGATGAATGTGATTTTCGTGCACTTGTATTAGCGTTTCTCTACTGACGAGGAGGAGAATCAAATATATCGCATGCTCTCTATCGTGCTTCTAGAGCGGGCGGGCGTCGATTACGCAAGTTAAATACAATGTCTCTGCCCCCTGCGTGTTCGGCCACTTCCACTTCGAGGGTAAGGAAATCGCAATAATCTATGCAAAGTACAGTATAGCAGTTTAGGGTTTAGCAGTTCTGGAACGTGTTTGCGCTATATCCAATTTTGTCTTGAAATCTAAGAATCTCAGAGCTGCATTAGGTAAGATCGGTCCAGGTTGTTTGATTGCTGATCTGATCTGCATCTGATGTATCAGTTAAGCGACTCCGTGTACGAACTTTACAACCCAGGAGTTGAATCGGTGCTGGACGTTGTATTCTTTCACGGCCTACAATCGTCACACACCTCTGTACCTCACTTATCGACATGGATATCAAGCGGTTCTCACAAGGAAGTATGGCCGCAGACCTGGATCCCGCAAAAGTTTCCGGGAGCTCGGATTCTCTCTGTCGAGTACGATGCTTCTATCAGTACATCACCAACGCATGGAAGATTAGACCTCTACCTCACAGCCGAAAGTTTGATGTATAATCTTATAATTGCGAAGGTGGGGCAGCATCCTTGGCGTCCAGTTATACTCGTCGGTCATAGTTACGGAGGCCTTGTGATCAAACAATTGTGCGTCCAAGCACACTTCAGCGAAAGCTTGCACCGCTCTGACAAACAAATAGCTCGCTTTCTCAACTCCGTCACAGGAATTTTCTTCTATGGAACGCCGCACCATGGAAGTTCATCATTCTTCACTCCAAATGGAACAAAACTAAAGGACGCTAGCCCTCTACTCGACTATGTCAAGCTGCTTTGTGCAGAATCAGGTCGCCTTCATGAATATTTTGATGCTTTACGTGTGTACTACAAGTGGAGCATTGCCGGAGTCGGAGAATCGAGACCTACTACGTTCATGCTAGTGAGTGTGAGACTGACATGTTTGTTCTTTACTTTTATCCTCTTGATTCTAACCTGCTGAAACAGCAGCATTAATTCTGCAGCAAAATATCATAGTTTGTAACCCAGTACTCTTATGAGATTGTTCGGATATCACTCACAATAGATCTCGATGGGTTTCATGAAGTTTGCCGAATCCCTGTTTCACTTTTGGAAATCCATCCACCATACAAGATTTTCAGATTACTAGTCTGACCAGTGTTTTGTTCCAACCTGTTCCCAAGTTTAGGATGCAGAGTCTCAGAATGCTGTTGCAGTTAGCCGTGAGATGATTGTAGTTGAGGCTTCAGCTCGGTACGGCGACTTCACTCTGGAGCATGAGGATCATATCTCTCTCTGCCAGCCCAAGAGCATGACTTCAAATACTTACATACGATTGACATCGTTCCTGCAAAGGTTACAAAGCAATAAGGTTGCGCACACGAACATGTCCTCTGTCTTGGCAATTGCAATTGTTCGTCAATAAAAGCAAAGATAAGCCCATAAGATACTCTTTCAGATATATGAGAGCCAAAGTAGGTTCAAGAAACGACACGAGTTTATTGTGGGCGTCCGTCGATAACTAGATCCCTGTCAACAAGATTTCAAATTGTGGCTTTCAAGCAAGAGTTCATTCTAGTTGAGTGAGATTTTTCCTAACCTACAAATCTGAACTGCGTTTGGCTACTGTGATTGGATATAGGTGAACAGGAGAAGACTTCCTGATAATCTCCAGACGGTGCCGAAAATGGCTATGAGCCTACATTCTGACTTACTTGTAGAGGTTCAAAACATTTTACACAAAGGTCCAGCAGCAGTTGCTCTTTGCGGCATGGGAGGAGTAGGGAAAACAACTCTCGCAAAGCTGTTGTTCAATGAGTTGTGTGCTGAATATGAATACACTTGTTTCATTCCGAGATGTACGGACATGAAAAATACCAAGGAGATAGAAGACAAAGTGTATTCCTCGATGCATCATCTTGGCAAACAGCTTACACAAGGAGTGGAAAAATGGAATCCGACTGATTTGAGACAGCAAACACTTCTCCTTGTTCTGGATGACATTGACAATGGTAGTCATGTTGCATTTCTCCAGGACATAGTTTCGAAGAACGATTGCGCAAACAGTCGTTACATTGTTACCTGTAGAGATAGAAACATTTTGAACAGTTTAGATTCACGCGTGTTTGATGTGAAATTCTTGAATCCCGAGAGCTCCACAAAGTTATTTATGAGCTACGCATTTCCGTATCCGACCGAACCGAGTCCTTCACTGAAGGAATGGGTACACAAGATCGTCGCGAAATGTGATGGACTACCATTAACCCTAGAGGTGATAGGCACGTATCTAAAGACAAAAGTCAGTGAAAGCATATGGGTACAGTGTTTCCAAGCTCTGGTTGAAGCAAAGAACGTAGTGAGTCTGGATGAGAAGTTGTGGGCGAAATTGAGAGTTTCTTACGACCGTTTGGGTAGTGAGGAGAAAGAAATGTTCCTTGATGCTGCGTCATTCTTCAGCAAGTCCACCTGGAACCTGCGAGAAGCTAAGGCTTGCTGGCGTGTGCTGTATGACTCGGAAGATCTCCGATGGCAGACTCTGGTAGACTTGTCTCTTGTCTACAATGTAATGGAAGAGGAAAGTATACAAATGCATGAGCAATTAAGGTCTCTCGGAATTAGATTGGCTTCAGGATGGGGAACAGGTGGCAGATGTAGGACTTGGACTCCCGAAAATGTCCCTTCGAGGTTTAAATCCTCAAACTTCATTAAGAGGATTGCAGAAAGACTGTTCTATTCCAATGATACAGGCTCATCAAGCACTGATATGGGAACACATATTGAGGTACGAGATTATGTTACTTCGACTTTCAAGGTCCCGTCTCCTCTCTATAGTACTCCCATGTCGGATATCGGTTGTTGTTGTAGATCATTGAAATTCACGTCAACTGAGGCACGTCATTGTTCGGTCGGGTTTTTTTCTGAACTTTTTTTATTGATTCTTGTACACAACCATTTCAAAGCTTCACTGCCCTTCCTGTTGGTAAACGTACTGCATTCTTGAACCCAAGAAATTGTCTGAGTAGATCCTCTTCCTTTTCTTCATACATGTTTTTTGAAGCACTTCATTGTCAGTCACCGTGCTTCTGTGAGAAATCAGCGATATAATTTTATAAAGTCGCAGCTTTTCCTTCTTAAACGTAATTCAAAGCAATCAACGCACTGGTTTTGCTACTCCTAGAAACTCCCTTTAGGATCAAACAACTTTACTTTCATTATGTCATTGATAGCGCACTTTCTCTCTTTATCTTGCTGTCGAGATATTCATCACGTTATATAGTCTCTACACCGCGTTACTGAGTTTGCTCATCCTGACCCTATCTGGACTTCGAAACGAGAAGCGTCTTGTTGTCAAATACCTGGCCTGTGATCTCTAACGGATGCTCCTCCTCACTCAATTTGGACTTTCCTGTTAAGGATATCATTGACTTTGAACCTGAAGACTCGATGGCCCTGATCAAATGAAATGCTACAAGTCTGGTAGGTCAAGTTTAGATCATGGACTATATTTGTGGCCTCGGATGTGAACTAGGCCCTGGGTGTTTTGGTGCAGGAGGTCATAGCGCTACGAATAAGTATGGGAACACCTAAGTATGAGGTACGAGATTATGTTACTTCGACTTTCAAGGTCCAGTCTCCTCTCTATAGTACTCCCATGTCAGACATCGGTTGTTGTTGTAGATCATTGAAATTCACGTCAACTGAGGCACGTCATTGTTCGGTCGGGTTTTTTTTGCTGAACTTTTTTATTGACTTCTTGTACACGACCGTTCCAAAGCTTCACTGCCCTTCCTGTTGGTCAACGTATTGCTTTCTTGAACCCAAGAAATTGTCTAAGTAGATCCTCTGCCTTTCCTACATAAATGTCTATCGAAGCACTTCACTGTCAGTCAACATGCTTATGTGAGAAATCAGCGATATAATTTTATTAAGTCGCAGCCTTTCCTTCTTAAACGTAATTCAAAACAATCAACGCACTGGTTTTGCTACTCCTAGAAATTCCCTTAGGGATCAAACAACTTTACTTTCATTAGGTCATTGATAGCGCACTTTCTCTCTTTATATTGCTGTCGGTATATTCATCATGTTATATAGTTTCTCACCGCGTCACTGGGTTTGCTCATCCTGACCCTATCTAGACTTTGAAACCTATGGCCTATGATCTATAACGGATGCTCCTCCTCACTCAATTTGGACTTTTGTGTTAAGGATGGCATTGACTTTGAACCTGAAGACTCGATGGCCTTGATCAAATGAAATGCTACAAGTCTGGTAGGTCAAGTTTAGATCATGGACTATATTTGTGGCCTCGGATGTGAACTAGGCCCTGGGTTTTTTGGTGCAGGGGATCATACCGCTAGGACATGAACACTCGATGCTCCTCGACTTGAGAGATATTGGCCAAATGAAGAAGCTGCAATACTTGGATTCCGAGGTATTCATGCGGAATGAAGTAGGTGGCAAGCTTCCAAAGAATGTGACCCTTCTTCGACTCCGTGGAGAAGTGAACATTCTTCATAACCTGGTAGACCGAGGGCTTGCGAGAAGTTTGGCTGTTCTGGACTTGAGGGCACCGCTCACATGTTTGCCAACAACCGTCAGCGACTTTCAAAACCTTGAAGTTATGAAATTCGCAGAATGCCTCTTCGAAGGTCTTCCCGAAGCATTCGGACAACTTTCCAGGCTTCGTCATCTTACATTTAGCTGCTGCGTGAGACTTCGTTCACTCCCCGAAGCTTTTGGAGGGCTCTCACAACTGCGGTCTTTGGAACTTCATTGGTGTAGGAGTTTGAAAGCATTGCCGGACAGGTTCGGAAATCTGTCCCAGCTACAAAGCCTGATAATAAGATGCAGTGATATCTCAAAACTGCCTGAGAGCTTCGGAAATCTGTCCCAGCTACAAAGCCTGATAATATATAGGAGTCCAATCTCAGAACTGCCTGAGAGCTTCGGAAATCTGTCCCAGCTACAAAGCCTGGAAATAGATGACAGTCCAATCTCAGAACTGCCTGAGAGCTTCGGAAATCTGTCCCAGCTACAAACCCTGACAATATATAGGAGTGATATCTCAAAACTGCCTGAGAGCTTCGGAAATCTGTCCCAGCTACAAAGCCTGATAATAAGATGGAGTGATATCTCAAAACTGCCTGAGAGCTTCGGAAATCTGTCCCAGCTACAAACCCTGACAATATATAGGAGTGATATCTCAAAACTGCCTGAGAGCTTCGGAAATCTGTCCCAGCTACAAAGCCTGATAATAAGATGGAGTGATATCTCAAAACTGCCTGAGAGCTTCGGAAATCTGTCCCAGCTACAAACCCTGGAAATATATCAGAGTGATATCTCAAAACTGCCTGAGAGCTTCGGAAATCTGTCCCAGCTACAAAGCCTGGAATTATCTAGAGCGAGAATCTCAAAACTGCCTGAGAGCTTCGGAAATCTGTCCCAGCTACAAAGCCTGGAAATATCTAGAGGGAAAATCTCAGAACTGCCTGAGAGCTTCGGAAATCTGTCCCAGCTACAAAGCCTGGAAATATCTAGAGCGAAAATCTCAAAACTGCCTGAGAGCTTCGGAAATCTGTCCCAGCTACAAAGCCTGGAAATATCTAGAGCGAAAATCTCAAAACTGCCTGAGAGCTTCGGAAATCTGTCCCAGCTACAAAGCCTGGAATTATCTAGAGCGAAAATCTCAGAACTGCCTGAGAGCTTCGGAAATCTGTCCCAGCTACAAAGCCTGGAAATATCTAGAGTGAAAATCTCAGAACTGCCTGAGAGCTTCGGAAATCTGTCCCAGCTACAAAGCCTGGAAATATCTAGAGCGAGAATCTCAAAACTGCCTGAGAGCTTCGGAAATCTGTCCCAGCTACAAAGCCTGGAAATATCTAGAGCGAGAATCTCAAAACTGCCTGAGAGCTTCGGAAATCTGTCCCAGCTACAAAGCCTGGAAATAAGATGGAGTGATATCTCAAAACTGCCTGAGAGCTTCGGAAATCTGTCCCAGCTACAAAGCCTGGAAATATATCAGAGTGATATCTCAGAATTGCCTGAGAGCTTCGGCGATCTCGCTAGTCTGCGGGTCCTGGAGCTTGGTATGTGCAGACTCCAAGCCTTGCCGGATACTTTTGGGCAGCTTTCACAGTTGTCGCACTTGACGATGCAGGGCTGCACCATCATCCAAAAATTCCCGGAATCGTTCGGCAATCTGGCCAACCTGTCCACATTGGACATCATCAACTGTCCCTTTCTTAACTACTTCGGGGTTCCGAAGAGCACCGAAGTAGACATTCGAGGAAGAAGGATGATATGAAGAGATGTTCGCCCTTGAGTTATTCGAGCGGAGCGTAGCGTTTGGAGTAGAACAACTTCACGTGGAGTCTTTTTTGGAGTGGTTGTGAAGGTTATGTTACCAATCAATATTCACATGTTTTCTAGTGTGGAAAAATAGGTCAATTTCACTAGAAGAACTCAAGTTTTAGTTTTGTTCATGTTCGAAAGTAGTTCAGTGAGTGGTGGTGCGATCTTTACACTTGGTCGCAATTGACCATAATTTGGTGATTTGGAGGACGGGAGAAGTTTTGTCGACGTAATCAAGGTTCTCGTGAGATTGTAATCTAGTTGTAGTTTGGAAGTGCAGGTGAGAGAATCGCTTGATTATAATGTGCAAGGAACTGGTAGAGGAAAATTCGAGTTCGGTTTTGGCCTTTAGACTTAGGCCGGAGCAATCGAGTTGATTTGCCTCTGTTTCTTCAGCAGTGGGCAGTGCCGGTTACGTGAGGGTCACTTTGCATTGGGCATGGATGTTGGAGCCTTCGATCAGCAACTGAACTTGAATTCGCGAGATGGGCCTATCCCGGGGATCTATTGAGAGTTGTTAGTGGGGCGGAAGTTTTGGGATTTCTGTGTTCGGATGGCTATGGCTCTTCGATCTATAGTGGGGTCCCAATTGTACAGTTCTGCAAAGGAGTGATGAAAGCAGCGGAGTGAAGGTTGGCAGAGAAAAGAGCGCTCTATTCGTAAGCGTCGGAGTTGAGTCTTGGTGAAGATTCAAAGTGGTGAACCACAGTAATCTGGCCTTTGGTGCCAGATTGGACCCTGTCATGTCATCCAGATGAACGTCGTGGGTATTTTGCTTTATCTCTCAGTAGCATCTAACTCGTCTGGAGGTTGCTCTGAGTGTGCTTGTGTACTTGGCTTTGGATTTTGTGTTCTCCTGCTTTCGTGTCCAATTGACTCTCTTAGCTTCCCGTGTACTTCAGTCGAGTCACAGTCTTTTCCGTAGGTTGAGTTTAGATTCAGAACTCTGCACTCGGAAACAAATCGCCAGAGCTTCAGTTAGGAAATCTACTTCTAGCTCCTGCAAGTTCGAAGAAGATTGCTCCGAATCATGCGAGCCCTCCATCGTAAGTTTATGCTGGGTCTCTACTCACCTCGCCTCCAGTTTCCAGACCAATTCATCATTGGAACGACAAAGTTACACAAAGGATCGCAGGAGTGCAGTTGTTTCACGATGCTTCCTGAAATAACCAAGAGTTTGCTCGTATTCTTATGAGGTGAAGTGGTCTATTTACACATAATTATCTAACTCGGTCACGATTTGAAGAGTGTTCTTCGATTTGACAATTTTCACCGGAGAATTTGACCAAAACGTAACCAATCAAGGATTGCTCCTTCTCACTTCTTGCGCTGTTATCGTCATCGCGACTGTCTTACATTCGAATTGTGGAAGGCATCTGCATCAACTCCCACCTTCACTCTGCGCTTCACTCCTTGTACAATCCTGTTGTAGATTCCCTCGCACTGACAACGATTGCCGACCGATGGATTTCATGTCTCCTATGGCTTCTACTTCAAACCGACATAAACCCTGTTCCAACAGCGTTGACTCCCTTGCTCACTGTGTAGATGTCACAATTGCTATGTTTGACTTTGATTTCCTTGTGCAATGTGGTTCATTACATGGACTGAATCAAATTGCAACATCCAACCGTGGATGTATTTGGCTCCCAATTTGTTAAACTCCATATAAACCGCATTACCGCAGTCTCCAGCTTCTAATCATTTTTTTGGGATGCAGTTTCTACGTATGAATCAAAATGATTTCAAACCGTATTCAAAATTATGCACCCATAAGTAGCAATAGAATAGCCTCACTTGCTCAAGATCGAATAAGGGCAATAGAGCTATGGCAATCAGCAATTCGAGCTCGATCTGCACTTGCTGCTGGAGCACGGAGATCCGGCTGAAGATGCTGCAGCTCTGATCGTTGCTCGCGTCGCTGCGAGCGTGGGCGACCAGACATGGGCGCAGGTTGTCCATCGCCACGTTGATGGGCGTCCCCTGGAAGTTGCCACCGTGGACGGCCCGGTCGCGGGCCACGTCAATGAGCGCGCTGTCGTTACCGAATCAAATCGAGACAAAGCGCCACCTCGGCGACGAGCGCCAGCACGTGGCCGCCAGGCCATCCTTGTGTTGCAGAGCGAACGGCTTCAGCCGCCCCACGAGCTGCAGAGCGTCGTGCGCCGTCACGATGTCGCCGGTCTCGGTCGCGGCTTTGGATATCGGGGCGGCCCGTCGATGCGCTTGTCGAGGAATGTCTGCAGCGTCTGCAGGATGGACCACCGAATTCCCGAGTAGCCCCCGAGAATTCGGTGCACCGATCGTCCGAGCACCACCGTCACGTCCGGCCTGGGCCACCATGAGCGTGAATCCCTGGATCAAAACCTCCTCGGTGTCGTGAAATTTGTGCACCAAGTCGGCCACTGGAGAAACTGTCCCTCATTGTGCTAAGGCTTCTTAAGAGAATGTCTCGAGAATTTTCGAGATGGAGGTCATCTCGCCCTGTCCCTCCTCATTTGACCTTTTCTTCCCGTTCTAGGGTAGGTGCGCGAAAGAGCATGATCGTGATCATGAGAGAGCCCTAGTCGGGCTTTTCGTAGAACTGCTCTGAGACATGGCTGTACTTTTGCTGTATACGTGCCTTTTGGAACTCGACCATCACACGGCTTTGCACAGAGGTTGGGTGGTTGCGACAGTGGTACAGTGGAGGATTGCACTCTATTCAGATTGAGGTTTCCGCTACTGTGCAGGGAGGGTGTATGCACCACCAATCTCTGTGGGTGCTTAAGCAAGTCACGAGCTTTTGAATTCCATTTGCGCGCCCTTTAGCTACAACCCCTGGTCGAGAAAGACTTATTTACACGACGAGGTTGGGCGTTCAGTTTTAACTTCACAGTACAATCAATACCATCTTCAGAACAAACCTACCTCGAAATCACAACTTCTGCCAAAAGTGCAAGCTGCATCAAGCCCCGTTTATCAAAAGCGCATTTTCTGTGAACATAACGAAGCTAAGCTTTGCCCTAGGAGCATCGAAAATTCGTCGATCTTCGTGCACAAAAAGGTTTGTTATATTCCTTCATCGAGTTTCTTGTCTGATTTAAAGTGCCAACTTCAAGAAATTCATTCGGTCATGCTCGACCTAAACCTTATTGATTGCAGTGTATGGGTGAATCTGCATAAATATAAGTGAGCCAATTCGCAATGAAAATGACAATAAACAACTGCTTTCCATTCCGAACGAGGTCATACCTGTCTTTGACCGTCAGCCTCTATGTCGTAGTACCATACTCGAATTTGCAGACGGAAGCCGTAGGAGAAAAGGTAACGTGCTACATGTAGCATCTGCACAGAACGCTGGCTGTGCCAGTGCCTGTGGAATTGAGTTGCGGTACGGCTGACGAAGTACGCAGTTCAAATTTTCTGAGAATATCATGAATCAGAACGTCGTCGGCTGGGACCATCGGACAGATAAGAAAGCAGATTGACCATAACCCAGCTGGCCTCACGGGCTGATTCAGGTCGTGATGTGGGTCCAGGGATACGCAAGCAATATTTTGAAGTATGCAGCGAATTCAAGGACGAGCTTGTCAGGCAGCAAAAAGCTAAACGCTTTCGACAGACGCAATGTACTGGCCTTCCACTCAGGATTGGTGTTGGAAATGGGTTTGTAGCTGAGGGTCAACTTATGGCAACTAGTGTCGGGATGACGGTCGATGGCCTCGATTTGTTCTTTATCCACTGGCCAGACTCTGTTCACCGTGTGCTCAGACCGGAAAAAGGTTGTGTACCTCGAACAACTCTACGTTCAGGTCAGAGAGAGTGAGTGAGTGAGAGAGAGAGAACACCAAGACTGCTGCCAGCAATGAGATCCAGCCATAGAACATATTTCAGATTTCATTGAGCTCTTGTGGTTCAAGATTTGGATGGAACCTAGCAAACATGGACAACTCAAGTTCCAAGAAATCTGACTTACAGAAATAACTGAAAATAGATTTGACGATGGTGACCTGCGACTCAATCATCCTGATACGCCAAGGCTGTGAATATTGCCAGGGAGGCTCAACTGATGTCGGTATGAGCTAGTCCAGCCTGGTTGAAGGGACACGCAGGAGAAGTCGCTCCCAGACGCTTTTAGAAAGCTCGGACAGGCACACATGAACTTGTGGCTAAGGTTTTGGGGGGTTTCTCTCACTGTCAAGTTTGTCTTCTTAGTTTAAAAACATGTCGGTTCTGCGAGCACTGTAGAAAAAGGTAGAAATGAGCCACATGGTCTCGTGGGGACGACGGGCTATTCCAGCGACCTCAAGGCGGCGGAGGCCGGATGTAAATCATTGTGTGGTCCGGAGGTTGGCCTGTGAGGTGAGTCAAATAAATGATAAAGACAGCTTGATGCCATCGATGACCTTCCGAGTCCTACCTCAGCACCAACGAGATACCTTTGGTGTTTGATACATCTTTTATCGACTGACAGATGTTTTGGCAATAGGCCAGCAATCAATCAGCGGCCTGTAGATAAAATGGGGGAGTTGTAAGGCCAGGCGAGTGTCAACTGCACTCACAGGAAAGTCAGCGAAAGTCGAATGTTTGAGGATGGATGGGATGTAGTTATGAACAAGTTCAGTTTGGTTTCGGGGACTGTATTCATCATGTTTAGGAAATGTAACCCGGTGGACATAAACTCAACCGGCTGTTATGTCTACGAAATCCTTACGGTTGCTATCGTCTCAGTCAAATCCCATCCAATGCTCAAAACTTGTTCATAACTTTAGTTATGAACATGTTTTTACTACTATGACTAATTTTTTTCATGGTTCGACCTCAAACCTGGCAGGATACGTAGAAATAACAGACGATGTGCTTACAGGAAGGATCCAGAAGCTGAATATAGTACCGTGATGAGGCGGGAGCTTGCAAAGATGATCTACGATGACCTGTCTAAGACGGGTTGCCGTACGATCGATGCCCTCAAGAAGAGGAAAATCTCGGAATCTGGTACTCGTTCTGCTAGACAGGAGGTTGAGGCGGACATCAACAACCACAAGATGGTCTTCTTCGATTTGCGGGAGAATAATCTTATTAGTCCTCGACATGCAAGGCAGCTTCAAAACTTCAGAAATGAGATCGAGATGGACATCAGGAACCGAAGGGATGTTGAGCCACCGAATGTAGGATCCACCGTGTCGTGGGAGATTCTACAAAAAATTCAGGAATTGGAGAATACCAAGAACACACCGAGAATTAGGAAAAATGTACCAGCCTCCCGTGCTACTCATCACCATCATCCAAGCAAACGTTCTCTACCTCCTAGGACGTCCACGGTTAGCCTGCCCAAAATACCTGCCAAATCGGCAGAGGTTACCTGGGCAATTTGAGAGATTTCTATTAACGGGATAAGGGCCAGAAAACAGGACTTTTCGATGCACTTCAGGTGAGTACGTGAAAGAAGTGTTACATAATGTATATATAGTCAACAAACCGAAAGAAGGTAGTATCCATATGTTCTAGCAGATTGTTAACCATCACTAAGTTTGATGACAGTGTGCAAGTCGTGTCTCATAGAATCGAAGAGCAGACACTGAATGAAGTCCAATAAGGAACATACATGGACTGGAGATGATTAACAGACTGATGTCATAGAGCTTACAGCTCCTACTTGGTAATCAGTTCGTAAAATTTGAAAGTCCTTCCATCCATGAAATCTTCCTGCGGTACAATCTTGTCGAAGATGCAAATCGAAGTTGTCCTCATGGCACTGAGTCGAATCAACGCACTCCGGTGTAAAATTATAACACACAAAGCT